AACCTAACCTCACTTAAATTTTATTTTAACCTTCGATCTCCTCGCACATTATATTCTCCTGATACCAGATTTCTGAGCTAACCTAACTAGCACGCTAACCTAACCTCACTTAAATTTTATTTTAACCTTCGATCTCCTCGCACATTATATTCTCCTGATACCAGATTTCTGAGCTAACCTAACTAGCACGCTAACCTAACCTCACTTAAATTTTATTTTAACCTTCGATCTCCTCGCACATTATATTCTCCTGATACCAGATTTCTGAGCTAACCTAACTAGCACGCTAACCTAACCTCACTTAAATTTTATTTTAACCTTCGATCTCCTCGCACATTATATTCTCCTGATACCAGATTTCTGAGCTAACCTAACTAGCACGCTAACCTAACCTCACTTAAATTTTATTTTAACCTTCGATCTCCTCGCACATTATATTTTTTTTTTCGGGCCTCAAAAAAAGGCAGTGTATAACCTTCCTTTTTTACCAAAAACCGATTGCACCAAAATTTCTCGGGAAAACACTTTTTATTATTAATTTTGGGGCGTAGAATCCAAAACAATTCGTACTTTTTCGATTAGACGTCTCAATCAAAAGTTATAGACTAGAAACCAATTTCGAACGAAAATTCAAAGTGCTGTAACTTTTGAACTAGTAGCCCAATCTTGGAACTGTTTGAAATTATGGATTCTACAGGGCACATTCTATAAGAAAAATCTCGGGCGATCTGAGACAATTTTTTTTTCGGGCCTCAAAAAAAGGCAGGCCTTTTTTACCCAAAATCAACTACACAAACAAGTGTTTTCCCAACAAATTTTGGAGTAGTCGATTTTTGGTGGAAAGCAAAGTCTATACACTTGCCTATATTTTGGGTTTGGAAAAACGAATTGTCTGAAATCGATCGGAAAAAAAAGGTGGCCTTTAGAATCCATAACTTCATACAGTTTGAAGATTGGGCTACTAGATCAAAAGTTACAGCCCCTTGAATTTTTTTAAAAATTGGTTGACCTTAAGTGTTTTCGAGGTCGCCAATTTTGCGATAAATCGCCCAAGTTGAAAACCCGTGAGCATTCTAGACCAGGCGACTCTGATGATAATAAATCCGTGCACATAATGTTGGGCATGACCTATCACTGCAATAACCGAGTCACAAAGTCAATAAAAGTAAATTTGTTTAACATATAGGTAATTTTAACCAATTTTGAAGAAAGTTTACGGCAAATAAAACACGTAGAAAGTAAAGATACCTTACTCGTTGAGATTGTGTTTAATATAAAATAGCTCTCACAGCTTCAAAGCGTTTATTAGTTCACGATGTCTTTTCAAGTTTTCTTCATTTTTGCCGCTTTGGTCTTTGGTGTATTCGCTGATACGCCTTACACCACGTGTACTTACCACATCGCACAAAATCCCGATGCGATAATAGTTTTGTTCTGTTTCAGGTACAACTCAACTTAACGGTGCCACCATTAATCACTTCCAAGTGAATGACTGCACAACATCACCTTGCCAAGTGAAGAGAGGTTCTACCATCACTTTAAGCCTAGATATTGCCGCTCGTAAGTAGAATCTCTGAATTTGAAAAAGTTCATTAGAGTGATGCCTATTTTATTGCAGGTGTAAATATTGGATTAAATACGCAACCTTCTGTAACGGTAGCTGTAATTATATCAGGCACACCGTTCCCAGTTTACCAATCCACTCTGTGCAGCATTACAACCTGTCCCATATTGGCAGGGACCACTCGAGTCATTGTTGCTTCGCAAACTCTGCCAAGCACTGCTACACCGGTGAGTTTTACTCGCATCGTTCATAGTTTCAAATCACTTTATTTTTTAGGGAACTTATACTGTACGCTTATCAGTTGTGGATAATTCGCAAACCATCCTTTGTGCTCAATTCGTCCTTTCTGTTACACTTTAGACCACGACTTGGTGGCAAATGCACTGATGATAATGTTGCAATTTACAGTAGTAGAAAGTTTAGATTGTTACTTATCATAATCTATGTTTATTGGAATGTAAATTCCTATAGTCACTCTGGTAAAATGAGTTTCAAAAATTGCCAATGTTGCGTTATTGCGTCTCCATGATCCTTTTGTATGATTTTCCGCGAACGGGTACTACTACAATCATGCCGTTTTTATAATCTCTTTCCCAAAGTGAAATGCTACAATTCTTAGTCAAACACTTCACGAGCTTTGTAATCCTTTGAAGCTATGGCGACTTTAGTGATTCGAAACTTTAGAGACTTCAGAAATTTTAGACCCGCTAGGAAGCTTTAAGGGTTTAATTAACGTTGGAGAGTTTAGGGACGTACCCAGGCCAGCCCCGAGAGACTGCGCAACGTACGTCATTCGCCCCCAGATGAAGCACTCTGTAAATAAACAGTAACATATTCATGCAAAAGAAAGAAAATTTGCTGCAATAAATATAAATATAGATTAACAATGTAGTGTCGATGTTTCCAAATACAGCAACATCCACGAACCGCTATAATATTTATTACATCGTTTAATTCTGATGCATTCGCGTATTGAATATCATCCCTAAGAGAACATACTGTATTTAAATATTAATAAAGCACATGAATCGGTCAGTAATTCATATTGCGGGTTGGCAGGTAAAACCAGCACTAGGAACAATACTGTAAATTGAAAAACAACATATTTACGTAGAAAACATAATGGAATCTTGCATTTAATTCAAAGTACGATTAAAGAGCAATTTGTATTTGTAATGCGCCATAAATGACAATGCCCCTGCTGTACTGGAATGTGATTAATTAGGCATCATGGGTTAATTATTGAATCCACCTAGGAGAAGACAATATTCTGCGCGTGGCCACAGTGCGTGTTGCTGGCAAAACTTTCAAACATCCGACCTTTTTCCCTTACCTAGGATGTGTTGAATTTTATCTTAATAAAACTCAGGTGGGCGGTATGGAAGTAACTTTTGTTGCATTTACAACCCTTGAAGTCTGTTCAGTCGTAGAAGTAGCTGCAACGGTCTTTGCCTGACGTAAGAGATGCCCAGTAAACAGTTAACCTTCACCGTCTTATAACATCTTGTATAATTATGACAAATCCGAATGGCAATATAATTGGAAATGGTTATTATAATAATTGATACCTATAAAATGGGTGGAATTCCCTCGTTTACTGTACTTGGTAGTAAGAGTCTGTGTAATAATAAAATTTGTCAAGTTGTTTTAAGGCAGTCGTCGCGTGTTTTTCTTTCTGAATCTGATTCATTGTAAAACACTTCAATTAAAACAGAATTTTTTAACAACCTAACATCAACCCCAATTAGAGAAACGTGTTAATAATTTATTAATAGTGCAAGAAACTAAATACAGCACATACTTATAAATTTCCAACGGGCCATCATGATCTACAGGCTAGGCGGCAATTGCCACCCGCCCCACCGGGCCAGTGCGCCTCTGGTTATACACTGCCTTTATTTGAGCCCCGAAAAAAACATTGTCTCAGATCGCCCCGGAAAAAAATTTTTCTTATAGAATGTGGCCTGTAGAATCCATAATTTCAAACAGTTCCAAGATTGGGCTACTAGTTCAAAAGTTACAGCCCTTTGAAATTTTTTTCGAAATTGGTTTCTAGTCTATAACTTTTGATTGAGAAGTCTGATCGAAAAAGTACGAATTGATTTGGATTCTACGCACCCCAATTAATAAGAAAAAGTGTTTTCCCGAGAAATTTTGGTGTAGTCGATTTTTGGTAAAAAAGGAAGGTTATACACTGCCTTTTTTGAGCCCCGAAAAAAAATTGTCTCAGATCGACCCGGAAAAAAAAATTTCTTATAGAATGTGGCCTGTAGAATCCATAATTTCAAACAGTTCCAAGATTGGGCTACTAGTTCAAAAGTTACAGCGCTTTGAATTTTTTTTCGAAATTGGTTTCTAGTCTATAACTTTTGATTGAGAAGTCTGATCGATAAAGTACGAATTGATTTGGATTCTACGCACCCAAATTAATAAGAAAAAGTGTTTTCCCGAGAAAATTTGGTGTAGTCGAATTTCGTAAAAAAGGAAGGTTATAAAAAGGGGGGCGGACTGGGTACTTACGGGCCATTAAAGTATTACTGGTGCCGGGGGGGGGGTGAGCTCTGAGGTACACGCACAAAAACATTTAAAAGTACTCCTTTCTTCGAAATTCAATTACGCAATACAAGTTGTAGTGCATAAATAAGCACATTGTGCAAGCAGTACTGACCCCAATAATGGTAGTGGGTTGCACAGATTGTAGAAGGTGCAGTCGGTAATTATTGGTCTAACAGCGACAATGTAAACACCTAGTTATAAGAAGTAATAGCAATAAATAATTAGTAATTCCTAATAAATCCAACTCCCTCACAACGAGGACATTACACAGTTTTTTTTTAAAATTGCAGCTGATAATTAAAAGTAACAAAATATACAATCCACACGAGGTGCGTCGCCTATCATTGTATTTCAGCACTTTCATGCTACGACAAAAAATGATAAATTCATTGTAAAACACTTCAATTAAAACAGAATTTTTTAATTTTTTAACAACCTAACATCAACCGCAATTAGAGAAACGTGTTAATAATTTATTAATAGTGCAAGAAACTAAATACAGCACATACTTATAAATTTCCAACGGGCCATTATGATCTACAGGCCAGGTGGCAATCGCCACCCGCCCCCCCCCGTGCCAGTCCGCCCCTGCTTATACTTACTAATATTGATGTCCAAATCGCAGATGGAAAGGAGAGGAACAATACAATAAGCACGGTATAAATAATTATACAGAATCGTACAAAACAACAAATTTATTACATGATAATTAACACAGTTACTAATACAATACTAATTTCTAATAATGAGTATATAAATGGCTAATTTACAATTAATTTAAAATTAATTTGACATTCTTTATTACAGTTTTAAAACTGATCAGACTCTCAGAATATTTAGGCACGTTTTTCTTTGGCCCGACAATCACGCTGAAAACTAATATTGTTCGTTACAAATGTTACATAGACAAGGCGTAATAAACAATGCTTATGCACATTCACTAGTATATTAAGGCCATACGCGCTTATTACACAATTGAGAAATAACCAAAGAAATACTAGCTATCTAATTATATTAGCTGGCACACTTGAGTAATCAATTTATTTGTCTTTGTTTTGGTCTATTGTTCTTAATTTGCTGATAATAAACAGCAGAACAGTAACTGCCCTGTCGCTATCATAGTAATGTTAAAATGGTATTAATAGTAGATACAATCGTTTTTTTAACAGATGTAATGTAACACATATCGATCGCATTAATATTACCATGATGCAGGGCAGTAAAGCCAACAAGGTAGGTATGTATGTATTACAGTGATATTGGCACTTGACATTTACACTACGGAAGCTCTAAAATGATCTATTTTACAATTTGCAATCATTGGTCCTTCAGTGAATATCTCTATATATTTACATTATTATAAATAAGTTCATTCAAATTACCTATGTAGCTGTATTTATATACACTGAAAAACCATGCAATTTCGACATTGCCAACTTATTCCTTGTATTTTCCGTTGTAGTATGGCAGGTATTGCAGTACAGTTTTAAAGTCGGTAATGTACGTCAGCAAAATCACAGCAGACGTTCCATAACGCAGCATGGATGGAGAAAATGCTTTTAGTGTATTATACATTTTTCGTAATGCCATCGTGAAAGATTTATGAAGTATTCTTTAAATTAATTTTCGCTTGTCAAACTGAGTGATAAACGGGCTTCTTGATAAATGCTTGCTTCATGACGTCACAACAATTAGACGTACAAAAAACTGCTTACTCAGTAAAATAAGTTTTTTAGCAATCTTATTATGTAAAAAACACATTGTAAATTAAGTCAAGACTACTCTTAATTAAAATTAATGTAATTAATACTTATGTCTGCCTCTATCACATGGAGAGAGCGCATGCGTATACCGCCAGCACCGTTGTCGCAATTTTAAGTAGCGCGCGAGAGAGAAACATGGGTATTGTTCCGTGAAAAAGAAGGACGCAGCGTAAGATCTGCTGGTGAGAGGGCGCATGCGCTCTCTCCATGTGATAGAGGCAGACAGAAGTATTAATTTCCTAATTGCCTGAATTTTTTTTAGGCAACTCATTTACAATGTGTTGGTTTACATATTAACATTTCCAAAAAAATGCATCTCACTCGGGAAACAGGCCTTATGTGAGCGATTTCGGCTGATTATAGATTTTTGTGTGGTTTTTGGCGTTTGTTTTCCAGCGATTATAAGTGTTTTAATCTAACAATTTACTTATATTGTACAATCATTGAGTACCTAATGCAATTAAGTATTTCAGGTTTGTTGCGCTTTATTACAATGAAGACAAAAACAAAGCTAGTAAAACTTGCGCGGTCGAAAACAGCTTGATGTTGAACAGCAATGGCTAAATAAAAATTCAATAGGTACGATCACTGACGAAAGTAAAGACAATCGGAAGCTTACTGTCACTTAGGCAACCAACTTTACACTATCGAAAATGGCACCGTTGAAGTGTAACTTTTCCGGCGGGAATTCGTGACGGCGCGGCCGCATTGTCGTCTTTGCTTCGGCGTTTCTTCGTCACTGCCTTGATATAAACGCTACAGTAGGTGTAATTACAAAAATTGAGAAAACCGGATTTAATGCATTAGATTCTGGGAAAGTTAGGTTTTCAGTCAAACCGAAAGTGAAAAAAAAAAATGAGTGTCAATGAATCCTTTTCTTTTTACTCTACGTGTCGCGCCTTGTTCCTTCTTAGCAGTTTCTTTGTCTTCGGGACTGTCTTGATTTAACGGGAGTAGTAGGTAGGTATATTGCAACAATTGGGAAAACCAATATACGCCAGTAAATTACCGTTTTGGCGTGTAATTTTTAACGCGCCTCGACGGATTTGCTTGAAAATTTGGATTTAGGTTCCTCTTACCCTCTACTTCAAAGGTGTTGCTTTTACTTGGGGGGTGAATGCGACCCCTTCTCGGGAGGGGGGGGGAGAAGCAACTTTTGTTGAGTTTTTCCAGTAAGACAA